AGAGAATTGCTGAATTTACATCAAAAAGTTTGAATATATTCATTTCTAACTATCTGGGTATAAATATATTCGCTTTATTTAAAATGACTTGAATTTTTAATCAATGCAAGAGAGATATATAATTTTTTTTAATAACAACCACTGTTAGAGCTATACACAAAATATAAATATATCAAAAGCGAATATTATAATTGGATCGATTGAGTATAGGTATAAAAAAAAAATTACATAACATGCAAATGAAAAAAACTACGATTTCATATAGACAATGCCCTATGTCATTAGCCAATAAATTGAAACATAAATAGATTATGCTCGATTCCCCTCCCACTACTTTTTTCGAAAAATTAGAAAAACATTGGTAGAATATAGGTATCATTCATAAGGAACATGCTCTCCTATATATATATATATATATACATATAAATATAACCTTACCTCAACTGTAATTGAATTTTAATTGTTTGCGGATGGAACACATCCAATTAACTAGGGGTATGGTTTTTCAGAAGAACCGATCATGTCTTAATGACTCTACCACTTAAACAACAAGAGCTGTCAATTCTGAAAAGTACACAACCATTTATTTGCCAGGAGTCATCGGAGAATTGAATAAAACCAACCCTCGAAGAAAGATCATCTTCCACCACCACAATGTGACTTCACACACTTCACATCAAACGAAGGAGATTTTAGCACCTAAAATTTGAATTGATGTCTCATTCGCCTTACAGTCCTGGCTTGGCATCCAATGACTTCTTCTTATTCCCAAACATTATGAAAAAATGCATGGTGAGCCTTTTTAACTTCAGAGCAGCAAAACTGTGTTTAAAATCGGTTTAATCGAATAAAAAATTATATATTGATTATCATGGAAAATACTTTAAAAAAGAATAAAATAATTTTTATTGTTTAAATACTGTGTTGTTATTGTTAGGCGCAAGATTTAAAAGGCTGCCCTCGTATTATAATTTCATATAATTTTTTTTTTGTTTATATTTTGAATTGAATTACTCTTAAGTCGTTACTCTTAAGTCAATGTTTTTTTTAACATTAAATCATGGTTGTAACTTATTTCATCACTTATTTCATCATGTGGTTGCCAAATGCAACGTTCATTTTTCAAAAATCTACGTTACATGGATTGATCTATTCGAGTTATTATACGATCCATGCTTAGGTATTAAGTCAGTAACATGTGCTTACCACTTCAAAGTCATAGCGGTTGTGAACTTTCCAGCCGACAAATCTCTTTATAAGTAAAATTTATTAAAAAAAAAATAAAAAATATTCTTAATCAATTTTATGAATGGAAATTCTGCAAGGAATTTATTAATACATTCAATATTTGTGGAAGTAAGATGAATTCGATAATGAAAACCTCAAAATGAATAAATTTTTAATTAATGTTTATTTAAAAAATTAATTTTTTATATAAACATTTATATAGTAATGCAAGTTTATATATATATATATATCAATAAAAATGATGAAGTAGTAGCAAGGTGTTTATAATATTAATATAAAAATTGTTTTTACATAGTTGAATTTTTTCGATTATAGTTAAAGAGACGTCAGTGGTCTTTGAAAATGTTTATAATTTAATTTTATGTTTATAATTTGTAATTGTTAAAAAACGTTGATTTACGTCGACAAATATTTTTTTCTAAAATAACAAAATCGCTGTAACATATTACTATACTTGGCATCGCTAGATTTACGCGGTGTTTTCCCATCAGAAAATAGTATTCAATCAACTCACGTATCTGAAAAGACGTATATATTACATATGTATATATGTAATTATACATAAGGCTTGTAAATAGTTTTATAAATTATCTATGCTTATATTTTGTGTATAAATAATATTTATTTATAGTCTTTTATGGCTAACTGTTTACCAATCTACAATAGTTTGCAATGGGAATTCCCCCTCATATCGTTAAATGTGTGTGTATGAAATTATATTTTTAATTTATTCTCTCAATTTATAATTGATAACACATTTCATCATATAATATAGATACGAGGGAGATGTAATAAAATTTCAATACAAGATTAGTTCAAGTATAAAATTAAGCTCATTATTATTTATATTTGTATTAAAGTGATTTATTTTAATAAATAATTTAATTGTATTTTAATTATATAAATATATATAATAAATATATTACATAAATATATATATACTATATACAATTCATATAAAACAAAATTTATTTATATGCATTTTTTCTATTGCTGCAAGTCATTTTTAAACTATACCTTTTATAATAATACGCATTTATATTAGAATATCCCTTTATATAGTATATAATTGCTTCATAGTGTTATATATAATATAAGAATAATAAAATATTTGTTTATTATCAGATTTCTGACTATCTATCTGTTCACTACAAAGCAGTTCTACTTACTATTCCCAATGAAAATCCTTTAAAAATTTCAAAACGTAAGTTTTAAAAACAATTTACCTACTTAGGGAAAATAAACTGAAGAAAAAAATTAATTTCTTAAATAAATTATATATCTAATATCGCTATAATAAATTTGTATAATTTTTTTTTTATAATATCAATATATTGCATATACAATTTATATTCTATTTGAAAACTCTACTAAACTCTTAAAATACAAAAATGATCTGAGCAAGATTTGGTAGCGATCTTCACGAACAAAATAAAATTTTAAAATATAATTTATCTATCAATCAATTTACTCTTTCAGTTTGTTTATGAAACAAAACTAAATTTTTTGAAATTTCTTTTAAAACCATTATATATTAATCGCTTTATGTTTAAAAATCATACAGAAAAAGGTAGTAGGACATTTGCTTTGATTCCGAATATAACATTCTAAATAAACCGACAACATGAACATATAGATTTCTACCTAACACGGAGAGGATATTTTCAGTATTAACCGAGGTACAGGATTTCAAAACGTGGTCACATATTCACATAAATCACTTCATTTCTAACACTAACTATATCTATTTATGCCAGAATTGATATGGTAAATGTTATTTTTCTCAAAATTTCTGTAAAATCTCTCTACTCACTGCGAGGTTTCTTCAAAACCTCTCTCTACGCCTTGACTGGATTATTGTTGATCACTTTATCAGACTAAGCAATAATTGACCTCAGATCTGCATACCTCCCCGAGGAACCTGCAACCATTCTGAGATTAGATAACGTTGGTAAGTGTTGGTAAGTCTGTCAGTTTTCGTAAATAATTTCAGGGCTCTATTATATTTATACCATTTTAGACAAAAATTTCTATATTATTTATTAATTATTAAATTATTTATTAATATTATAAAAAATAAAATTTTTACTAACCAATGAATTTATTGGCCAAAATCAACGAAAAGTGAGGTTAAATGGTTAAATCTTAAAAATAAAATATTCTTATTATCTAACAAAATTTTTGCATTTAAAATTTAAATTAATTAATTATTCGTTCCTTCCTTTTTACCTCAATAATAATATTAAGCCATTATCCATTACCCTTACGAGTCTGTAAACTCATATACAAATCTAAATTTTCATATTTATCACTTTTATAACCGAGCATTATCTTTCAGATTTTTTCGATTATACAGCACGGACTCGATTTATCTCTCATATTCAGTTTTATTTTCTGGACTTATGGGAAAACTATATATACTCTTTGGTAATATTTATTAAGAAATATCTGTTGCATTTATTATTATTATAATATTTATTTATTAATATATTTACGTAATTATTTTATTATTATTTTCTTATAACAGTTAAAGTCAACAAAAATAAATAAAATTATAGTTCTAGTCTATCGCTGTTACTTTTTTGTCACTTTATAATAATAAATAATAAATATTTCACTAATTAACAAACAAAGAAATGTTTATAAATAATACATTTTGTTGATACTATTTCTTTAGAATTCGAATTACGATTTTAATAGATAATAAAAAAAATGAGCTCTTCTTACAGCTCATCTTTCAGAATATGTATATAAACATATTTCATTGGTACTACTCTCAAAAACAACTTCAACTGCTTGTTCCCTTGATTGTAAAATACAAAATTTCATATTTCTATTTCTTGCCCCCGTCAGTTTAATCTGAAATTAATATTCAATTATTTACTAACTCTCTTTAATTGATCTTATGTATGATCTTTTCTTCTCAATTTGTGCAAAAATAATCAGACAGATTGCAAAAAAAGACAGGTTTCTAGTTTAAACCAACCACATGTATCAGAGAACTCCCAAACGAATAAGATGCAAAGTATTTATATACAGTAATTTCGTCTCTGAACTGTAGTTCTAAGTGAAATCTCGTGTAGCAAACAAGTGCCAAGCTTCTTCTCATCAAAAGCTAGAAATTAAAAAATTTATTTGATAATAATCGACAATAACGTGTGTGTGAAAAATAATTAAAAATAAATTTAATTTGATAGGATTTTCCCATCCGTCATCGGTTCACTAGTTCAAACAATATGTATCTAAAATTTTTTTCCATTTTATTGTTAAGTGTTATAACTGTGCAGGCATTTCATTTACCACCAGATAGTGAAATGGAAGACATATTCGGGGAAGAGGTTGCTAACAAGTATAATCGTTTATCATATCAATTTGATAGTAATGAAAAACCAAACGATTTAACAGCTAATAATATTGGTCAACATAAATCCAAATCAGAAGTAAAAGGACATACGCATAGTGACAAAATTATATTCCCATCTACATTTCATCATTTTCCTCCCTACCTCCCAGACCCAACTGAAGACGACAATACAAATGAAAACGTTAATTTTGAAGACAAAAATACTTTCGAAAACAAAATCAATGATATTCCAATGGTTTTTACAAATGTTGCACTAAAACCAGTTATTCAGAATAAGCCAATAATATTTCCAACAGATGAAAGATATATTATTTCGAAAACCGAAACAAAAAGTGATGAGTCTGATAATGAAAGTGATATCAGTACTGGAAACCTTAACGAAAAACTAACAGATACAAATTCGATTGAAACTTATTTTCTTAATCGTTTATTTAGCATTAGAAAACAAAATAATAAAATAGATCAATCAGATGAATCAGATGAATCAGATGAGTCAAAAGAATCAGATGAATCCAATAAAACAAACCAACAAACCAGTTTAGAAAATCTTTTGAGTGATATATTTGCAGATGAAAGCACATCTACAGAAAAGCAGAATAATGAAGAATCGATAAACAAACCAAATCCACCAGAAACAACTGAAAACAATTTAGATAAGGAGCATCAGCAAAGTGATGATTTAGAAAAATTGATGAAAATTATATTTGATCCATTTGGAATAGTTGAACTAAATAAACAAATACCCAATGATGATACTAAGAATTTGATGAAAGAAATTTTTGACATATCGGATGAAAGCGTTGAAAATAAAAATAATGAAACTTCTGACAAGGACATTAAAAAACTGATGAATATTATTTTTGGTAATGAGGTAGAAAATGTTGATGAATCACATGAAGATAACACGCATAATGAACAACCTTCCAATAAAATAATTAGCACTAGTATTAGTTCATTGCCAAAAAAAGTTCGTTCGATAAGCGAGGAAACCAAATTTGATGAAGATGATCATAGTTTTATGAATGACTGTATTCAAGCTAAAATGAATATTGAAAAGTTCCACCCCTTTTTTGAATTTGATAAGATAATTGAAATAGAGTCTAATTGTTTGGCACAAAGGAAAGCATTTAAAGAAAAAGATGAGATATACCCATTTAAAACTGATAAATCAAATAAAGATGAAATCGGGGACTCATTGGTTGAAATTGAAAAAGCTATTGAAAAAAAAGAAGAAAATAAAAATACATATACAGACGATGAAACAGCAAGTGTAACAAAAACTAAGGATTTGATGAAAGAGAGTTTTGACATATCGGATGAAAGCGTTGAAAGAAAAAATAAAGAAATTTCTGACGAGTACACTAGAAAACTGATGAAAATTATTCCTGTTTTATTTCATGAGAGTGAAGAGGTAGAAAGTGTTGATGAATCACATGATGATAACACACATAATGAACAACCTTCCAATGAAATAATTAGCACTAGTATTAGTCCATTGCCAAAAAAAGCTCATTCGACAAGCGAGGAAAACAAATTTGCTGAAAATGATCATAAATTTATGGAAGACTGTATTCAAGCTAAATTTAATAATATTAAACATATATTTGACCCGATATTTAATTTTTATAGGTTAATTGAAATAGAGTCTAATTGTTTGAAACAAAGGAAAGCAATTAAAGAAAAAGATGAGATATACCCATTTAAAACTGATAAATCAAATGAAGATGAAATTGAGGACCCATTGTATGAAACTTTTGGGTTTCCTATTAAAAAAAAAGAAGAAAATAAAAATATATATACAGATGATGAAACAGCAAGTGTAACAAAAACTAAGGATTTGATGAAAGATATTTCTGACATATCGGATGAAAGCGTTGAAAGTAAAAATAATGAAACTTCTGACAAGGACATTAAAAAACTGATGAATATTATTTTTGGTGATGAGCTAGAAAGTGTTGATGAATCACATGAAGATAACACACATAATGAACAACCTTCCAATGAAATAATTAGCACTAGTATTAATCCATTGCCAAAAAAAGCTCGTTCGACAAGCGAGGAAAACAAATTTGGTGAAGATGATCATAAATTTATGGAAGACTGTATTCAAGCTAAATTTAATAATATTAAACATATATTTAACCTCTTTTTTGATTTTAATAAGATAATTGAAATAGAGTCTAATTGTTTGGAACAAAGGAAAGCATTTAAAGAAAAAAATGAAATGTACCCATTTAAAACTGATAAATCAAATAAAGATGAAATCGCGGACTCATTGGTTGAAATTGAAAAAGCTATTGAAAAAAAAGAAGATAATAAAAATACATACACAGATGATGAAACAGCAAGTGTAACAAAAACTAAGGATTTGATGAAAGAGATTTTTGACATATCGGATGAAAGTGTTGAAAGTAAAAATAAAGAAATTTCTGACGAGGACACTAGAAAAGTGATAAAAATTATTTTTGGTCCATTTCATGAGAGTGATGAGATAGAAAGTGTTGATGAATCACATGAAGATAACACGCATAATGAACAACCTTCCAATGAAATAATTAGCACTAGTATTAATCCATTGCCAAAAAAAGCTCGTTCGACAAGCGAAGAAAACAAATTTGCTGAAGATGATCATAAATTTATGGAAGAATGTATTCAAGCTAAATTTAATAATATTAAACATATATTTAACCCCTTTTTTGATTTTATTAAGATAATTGAAATAGAGTCTAATTGTTTGGAACAAAGGAAAGCATTTAAAGAAAAAAATGAGATATACCCATTTAAAACTGATAAATCAAATGAAGATGAAATTGAGGACCCATTGTATGAAACTTTTGGGTTTCCTATTAAAAAAAAAGAAGAAAGTAAAAATACATATACAGATGATGAAACAGCAAGTGTAACAAAAACTAAGGATTTGATGAAAGATATTTCTGACATATCGGATGAAAGCGTTGAAAGTAAAAATAATGAAACTTCTGACAAGGACATTAAAAAACTGATGAATATTATTTTTGGTGATGAGCTAGAAAGTGTTGATGAATCACATGAAGATAACACACATAATGAACAACCTTCCAATGAAATAATTAGCACTAGTATTAATCCATTGCCAAAAAAAGCTCGTTCGACAAGCGAGGAAAACAAATTTGGTGAAGATGATCATAAATTTATGGAAGACTGTATTCAAGCTAAATTTAATAATATTAAACATATATTTAACCTCTTTTTTGATTTTAATAAGATAATTGAAATAGAGTCTAATTGTTTGGAACAAAGGAAAGCATTTAAAGAAAAAAATGAAATGTACCCATTTAAAACTGATAAATCAAATAAAGATGAAATCGCGGACTCATTGGTTGAAATTGAAAAAGCTATTGAAAAAAAAGAAGATAATAAAAATACATACACAGATGATGAAACAGCAAGTGTAACAAAAACTAAGGATTTGATGAAAGAGATTTTTGACATATCGGATGAAAGTGTTGAAAGTAAAAATAAAGAAATTTCTGACGAGGACACTAGAAAAGTGATAAAAATTATTTTTGGTCCATTTCATGAGAGTGATGAGATAGAAAGTGTTGATGAATCACATGAAGATAACACGCATAATGAACAACCTTCCAATGAAATAATTAGCACTAGTATTAATCCATTGCCAAAAAAAGCTCGTTCGACAAGCGAAGAAAACAAATTTGCTGAAGATGATCATAAATTTATGGAAGAATGTATTCAAGCTAAATTTAATAATATTAAACATATATTTAACCCCTTTTTTGATTTTATTAAGATAATTGAAATAGAGTCTAATTGTTTGGAACAAAGGAAAGCATTTAAAGAAAAAAATGAGATACACCCATTTAAAACTGATAAATCAAGTGAAGATGAAATTGAGGACCCATTGTATGAAACTTTTGGGTTTCCTATTAAAAAAAAAGAAGAAAGTAAAAATACATATACAGATGATGAAATAGCAAGTGTAACAACATCTCCAAATGTTAAAGATATGAATGAAGAGAATGACGAAAAAGATACTGAAAAAATAGAAGAAAATGATAATGTGAACGCAAATAGAGATATAGATGAGGAAATAGTAACGCAGTCATATAACACAGAAAGTGAGGAAGAAGATAATGTTACTCTAACAAAATCAGATGTTGATCAGCTTAAAAATATTAACAATGTCGTTCGTAAAGACTTAATTGATTCAATGAATAACGTATTCAAAATGGCAGAGAGTCAAATAGATTATATCTTACATAAGAGAGTTAAGTTTTAAACAGTCATATTAATAATTAATATTAAATAACTTACTAAATCGATGTTTGCTCGAAATTAAAATAATTTGTAATTGTTATTCCTTATAAAAATGTAAACATGACTTTGTAACATCTTATACCAAATATATACATAAGTTAATCTATTTGAGTAATAATCGTTATTTTTCTTTTTTAATGATTCAATAATTTCTTATGTCAAATATCTATTTAGTGTTTATATATTGACGTTAACCTCCTTGAAAGAAATATACTTTTCCAAAACCTTTAAATATATTATACTGATCTTGCTGACTCGAAAATATTGATGTTGCTGACTGACTCAATATTTTATAAATTGTGTCAATAAAGACATTATTTTAATATTTTGCACTAATGAAGTGGCGATTCGAAAGGTGTTACTTAACTCTTAAAACTGACGAAAGTATAAATTAAATCAGCAAAGTTAGTAATTCAAGTATGACTTAAATCAGTTTTAAGACTTAAGTTAACATTGCAAAATCGGCACTAAATATTTGCTAAATAAATATTCAAATATTTTTCTCAAATAAAATTTAAATACTGTGCATTTGAGCAGAAAGTACACTCTATAACTAAAACCGAATTGCAGGTCTCAGTGATCAATTCAATGAGAGCAACAGCAGAACTTTCCACCATTTGAATACACAGTACTTACTATGTTCTTCTAATTTTCGTCTACAATTAATATATAGTATATATGTATAATAATAAAAGTACATATTGTATAAAAGTAATATAACCTACTTATAGTTGTAATAATCATATTACCTACAGCAAATAATAGAAGACATTTAAAATAAGTAAAAATTTTAACTAATTTATTTGTGGGACTTTTTTTTTTAATCGTAAAGTACAATCATTGGCAGTGTATGTATATGAAAATTTTTTTGAAAACTTTCCATTCAATGTAATTATTTTCTATGCTACATAGGTGATAACTTTATTGCATTTACTTAGC